ACCCGCCGGTCTATGTAATTAATTTCAGAGTAGCGTGTAAAATTTCAAATTAAACGCTGATATGAAAGACTAACTTAATTTGACAGAGATTGAACTGATTTTAATTAAGTGTACAATTTTATTCAATTTAAATTAACAGTTACAAGAAATCAAAACTATTTTTAATGTTATTATTAAATATTTTTATATGCTTAATAATAACATTTTTATTAATTTATCAAATAATGTAAATTATAATCCATTTACTACAAATCAAGGAATATATTCATTTACATTTTTGTTTTAGGAAGTAAAGATAATTTAATATAAAATTAATATATACATTTTGCAAGTAGAATTGTATTGTTAAATTGAAAATAAATCTTTAAAAATTCATATTGTATTCTTCATTACCATTTGTAATTTGTAAATTTTTTATTCATTTAACCCAATAATTTGTTTAACTGCAAGTGAGTGTATCTTTTTTTAAATTAAAAAACGTCGCATACAAGAAATATTTTTCAATTGACTTTTCCGACTTTTCCAATCTCTGCTCCTTCTTTAGTTAGGATGTTTTAATGTTTGATTTATTCTTAAATTTTACACAAAAGTTTATATAGAAAAATCTCTACATCTTTTCGCATTAAAACACAAGTCTTTCCGCGACTTCTGAGAACCGCAAGATGTAGAGAGATGCTTATCTTCTATCTTCGCAGCCGAAAATAGGTAAATTAACACTTGGAAACACACCCATGGTCCGGCTGCGGGACAAATTTATTGTGAGGGGCACGCACCTCGCCCGCCATAAATACATTTGCATTTTGAGAAACAACTCGCAGGTGATATAATCGCGCGAGAACAAAATATTAAATTAATCCCCGGCAGCCGCCGATGATAGCAGATTAGAACAGCATCATAAGCCCAAAGATAAATGTGTCACTTTGCCGCAAGAAATTTCTCATCTCTCTGCGCGCAGCCCGGAGAGATTTTTATCAGCTCCGGGTTTTTTTACTTTCTGGTTATGGGAAGAGCCGCAACCGGGGATCACAAGAGCCGCGACTACCTTCGGACCCCCTGCTTGGAGCCCCGGGGAGCCCCTTTTCTCTTAAGCAATAATTTTTATAACCCCATTTGTGGACAGGCCAGCTCTCGGCGGGCCGGGGGACACAATGCGCGCAGAGGTGTCAGCCAAACAATCAGCCAAATAAAAGCGGCAGTTTCCTCCGCTGTCCGACAAGCCATTAAACTTTTGTCAGAAGTCGCCTTTATGTGGTGACGAAAAATATCAGCCGCCAGTTATAGGTTTTGTAATTTATTGTAAATGGTCCTGTCGATTGGTAGCCACCTGAATAGTATAAAAAATGGTTTAAGATGTTAGAAATATAAAAATTAAAACATAAAATGTTGGAGATAGAATTTGTAAAAAGTAAAAAGTTTATTCTTTTTGTGTACTCTATAGATAGAAAACTAATACGGACAATAAATCCTTGCTAATAATTCATTCAAAATAATAATAAAAATTGCCAAATTTCATAACTTTTTTTCAAAAACAGTCAGTTTAGTTTAATTGCACAATATTATTTGATAAAAATCACCTTTCAAATTAAAGTTATTAAAAAAAATAATATTTTGGCTTGAAGGTTTAGATCGAAAAATAAGAATAATATAATTAATTAAATTCTGTTCTTTTCAGTTCATTTGAAAATTATTTACTAATCTTCAGTAAAAATCGTAGAGGAACTGATGCTGAGTTTCAAAAGTTTTTATTTTTAATTGGAAATATTAAATGAATATAAAATTGATTTATTTTATCGAAATACAGATGTGGGGGCAACAATATTTAGAGGAAATTTTTCTGCAGCACTTGGTCTCATATCAAGTTTTATTTTATTCGATTTACAAAGTTAAGATAAGCCCGCAAGATTTTGACCTTTTCACTCGGTCAGCAGCTTTGGGACAAGTAGAGATCGCGACCTCTTGCAAGCAGCAGCAGAAGCCGAATTTGTACTACACATTAATTATTGCAATCAAAACTTAACTCTCCTCTCACATCGGACGATTTTGCATCTCGAGCTCGTTATCCGAGATAAAAATAAATGTATATGTTTTGCCGAGGGAGCACAGCAGCTGAGGCGATACAGTTTTTGTGCGTGCATTCGTGGCTGTGCTCCGCGGAGTGACCTTTCGGCGCGGCGCTCTTGATGTGACTCGGTCTGAATAATGGGACGCAGGGGTCACTAAACGTGGCCCCGCCGTGATGTGCTGGTGCGAACTGAGACGCTCATTAAAATGATAAACAAGACAGCCTCTTGATCTGGCGGGCACCGAAAGAAAGCATTTCAGGCGCCTAATCAAAGCAGACACGCAGGAAGTGCGCTGTATAAATTTTATGCAAATAAATTTCACACAGCACGCTTTTTGTCACTCCAATCTAACGTGCAAACGGATTACAAGTGAGAAAAACGCCGCTCAGAGAACGAACAAAAAATGGATTGGAAGCAAAAAAAAGTCAAATAAAATGTTTAATCCATTTATATATCTGCAAAAAAAGCACCTTGCTTTTGATAGTCAGGAAATTGTTAATTAGGTGCTAAAAATCAGAATTAATTATTTCTTAATTTAAATAAAAGGCCAAACAAAAAATATCAGTTTATAATTCCCATGACTTAAAAATTTTACAATAAAGTAATGAATTATTCTGGAAAATGAAAGAAAATCGTGGTAAATGTGGTTTAATATTCAAAATCAGGTGCAAGAGCCTGAATTATAGATAATAATTATAAATTTAGAATTAAAATTTAAGTGGCTTAAGAATTCTGTTGTGATTGAATTGGATTTAAGGGACATTTTTTTGAAAAAGTATGAACCCCGCGGTTCTCTAGGATTTATATATTTTCGGTCTCCTTTTTCTCCAGCGGAAAAGATAAAAAGCCAATTTTGGAATGGGAATGATTTTATAGCCGGGGCGAAAGAAAGAAAATCGATCGTATGGTCGGATTAAGTCGTCGTCGTCGTATTTGGGAATTTTTTATTCCCCCAATGGCATATCATGTCGTGCCGAAGTAATACATTAATTGAGCTGGGGGATGATGAAGACACACGCGATAGGGGGTGAAGCGAACGAGCACACACGCGGCCGGGGTGAAATGTCGCACTCCGCCACCAGAATGTCAACGGCTGTGACGGCTAATGTGGCGGCGGCGGCGGCGGGTACGCATCGTTGTTGTGTGCAGTGCAGCCCGCAGTCAAATTTTAATGTCAAACCCTCCAAATGTTTGCGGCAGTCGCGGGATTCGCAGGCTGCCGCAAATATGAGATGCTGCAAATTCGTGAGAGGTGTAGTTTTGCGGGTTGCGGTAAATCGTTGATGAATAAACTCGGGCTTATTAATATTGTAGAATTATACCATAATTATTGTTCATTAATGCCCAAAGAAATTACTCATTACAAACCATATATCCTTAAATAATTGTGCTTCTTTAAGAATGCAGTTTACGTTATATAAAGTATAAAATAATTGCAAAAATTAATCAATTTATAATAAAACTTGATTTTATTGTGAAAACAACAAAATTAAAATTATTTTATGCACATTTATTTAAACAAAAAATTAAACCAAAATAATGTTTTTAATTTAATAAAGGTGGACATAAATTTTTTTGCATAAATAATCTTTAAAAAGATGTACTCTTTAATTATAGCAATGTTAAACTGTATTTACAAAAATTAAAATTTTATATCAAAATAATTATTTTGCAGCACTCTACAGGATAATATTTTAATGAAAGGAAAAATATCAGTTTTATTTCTAATCAGCAATTAAATTTTATCTACAATCACTGGTGAGAAGTGCAAAAATCTAATTTATTTTCACAGCCGTCTGTAAGTAACAGCTTGGGAAATCAGTTCCCAGATTTCAATTTAATTTTCATTTTTGGTGCTAAATTTTTCATCGAAAAACTCTCCGTAGAATTCGCACCAGATTAAGAAATAACATAAAACGCTCTTTACCTCAAGGATAAAATTTGCGCTTAATTGCAGGTTAGGCGAGAATATAACGAACAGAGAGATGAATTGAATTAGCTCCGTTCTCCGGAAAAGCTAAATAATAACAATTCCATGAGAAACTGCACGATATAAGAGCAGACAAAGCAGTCAATTTTCATATATACACATCCGTCGTGATGTGTGCCGGAATAATAATTTTTGAGAAATCGGAGGGAAAGAAATCTCGATCGTGTCTACTTTCGACAGAGCGCCGTTTCCTGCCGATATAAATATAATATAATTGCATCTGAATAACTGGGTTGTGGGAATGATCTGCTCGTGCTCACATCAGCTGATGTCCCCTGCAATTATTTGGAGCGTTTCTCCCCCTGCCTTTTTTTAGATTGATTTTTCATTGATCTCGGGAGAGAGACAAAAAAAGAGGAGCCGCTGAAAATAATGCATTTTTTTAAAGTGCTGATCGGTCATCTTGCGCAGGCTGAGACGATATGATTGCACCTAACCACGCGGAAAATGAAGCAGACAAGGACAAATTGCAGTCCCCAAAAGCACAGGCGATATCCGTCGCGTGATTAATGATCCCAAATTTATTCATGCCTGCGTTTTTCTCCTCTCTCTCCTCAGGGATGAGTTTTCGCGGGGAGAGATAAAATCGAACTACAATTTTTAAGTTCCGAGATCTTTTTCTTCGTGGAAAGATCAATTCGCTTTTCTTTGTGCTGCACCGCGACTGCTCATTATGCTGCAGGTGTCTAATTAGAACGCCGCGATGCAGTGGTTATCATTCAGCCCACCCACCACAATCTGCCTTCCGAGAGTGGCGAATGAGACGCAGGCATTGCTTTGTGCACACAATAGCCTCTCTGTGCGCGCAGACAAAAGAGAACAATTGAGAAAAGCGATATTTTTAATTTGTAAGGGTTCTCGCAGGTATTTTTTTAAAGAACCGCGGCGCCGCCAACGACTTTGCTTGATTTTTTCGCTCAATAAGTTTGTATTTTTTGCTGTTGCAGACGATCCTCAACTCGATGCACAAATACCAGCCAAGGTTCCACCTGGTCAGGGCCAACGACATCCTCAAACTGCCCTACTCCACCTTCAGGACGTACGTTTTCAAAGAAACCGAATTTATTGCAGTCACTGCATACCAAAATGAAAAGGTAACAATTTTTTAAAATTTAAATTTTTTTTATTAATTTTTATTAATTTATCTAGACTTTATCTATATTTTTATTTAGTTTATTTACTTTCAATTATTTATTAAATAATTTTTATTGAATATAAATCTGAATTTTCTAAGAATTTGAGCATTAAAAAATATGCACGTTTTTGCTGGAAAAATTACATTAATTAATGGTATAAATTTTCAAGTCATTTCCATGATTATTGTATATGATAATTTAATATTGTTTGGATGGTATGGTATCCTCTGTTAATCAAAATAATTTACACGTTACATAAAACTATAAACATAAATGAATTTTTGAAGAAAAGAATAAACGCATTATGAAAGAATAAAAAATGTGTCAAAATATAATATTTCATGACATATTGAATGGAGAATAAAGAAATAGAGCTACTGTTTTTAATTATTAATTCTATAAATTAAAAAAATCCTTCCTCAAAAGTTGCGATATTACAAAATTTATTTTCATTTTGATTTCCAGATAACTCAGTTGAAGATCGACAACAACCCCTTCGCCAAAGGCTTTAGAGACACGGGTGCTGGAAAACGCGAAAAAAAGTGAGTGTCTTTCTGAAATTTCTCATTTTAACTAATTTGTTTGTGAAAAATCTCGGTTACTTCAAAGCATCTCAATTCAATATTAAATATACCATAAATACCCATTATCACATTAAATCCAATAATTAACTTCATTTGGGAAAACAGGAACGTGATTTTTGTTCGCAAGAGAGGCGACGAATCTCTCACTTGCAAACCCTTTGACGTTAAAACAGAAAAATATATAATGCGCGCGGTGGGTGTTCATTTGGATCAATTAAAGTCGTGTGGGATAATAGGGAAGCGCTGGCCTAGAACAATAAAATTGAACATGACCACCCATAGTCCGAGGGATTCCTGCGAACACGATTTCAGCCACTCTCACTCACCCCTGCGCTTTTGCCAATTTGCTCATCGCGTATTTATAATTGCGCGAATTGCGCGCGTCGCATAAAACTGGAAAATTGACACGAACGAATTCGGCGTGTTTGAGCGTGCCAATTATTTGTTTTTGATGTGCAGCAATGATAGTGTGCTTTCGTGTTTTATTTCGGAGTTGCCATACAAAATAATAATATCCATTGAGCAGGTTTAGTGAGAGAGAGCGCAGAACCGACTTAATAATACACATACACTTGTGCAATAAACTTTTATTATCGTGCCTCTAATTTGTAATTGAAAATTGACGACGGGCTGAGAGGAAAACGTGCTGTCTAGACGGCTATTAATCCGGGATGTTTTGCATTAATTAAAATAAATAAAATGACGGGATTAAAGTAAGCACGACTGACCTCTACAAGTAAAACTCAAAAGCTCTTGCAATGAATAGAGGTACTGAACTTAAAACTTGAGAAAAAAAGTATTTAAATAATTGTTAGGAATTAATGTGACATGAAAGTGTTTTTAGAAATCCATCAAAAAACTACAAAACTTGTAAATTTTGATTTTTTTTTCATCATGTTATTTTGAATAGAAAATTATTTAATAAAAAAGGAGATTATCAGAAACACTAAATTTAAACCGGAAAAATTTTGAGAACAAAAAATCTGCAAGAATTAATTAAAAATAATGGGTTATGAATACAAATTTAAATTAAATACATGGTCTCGTGGAAAATAACCTCTAATAATGTATATTTAAAGTAAAAATTTGCTATCTTTCAATTTGTGAAATTTTTTTATAAAATCAATTAAATTTAATCATAAATTGTAAAATTTTATTCCCTCCTTGTATAAATTGCAATATATTTTTAAAGAAATCCTGCAAAATCTGAAATGAATTTTATTTTCACTATTTTTATTATTTGACTTCAATGCTCCTCTATTCCCGGGGCATCAAATCTATTCCGGACCAGACATCCAATAAAATGATATCATCTCTTTCGCTCTCGGAAATAGAGAGGCGCCAAAGGGACTATTATATACTTTTTTCTCTCTCTATTTTTTTTTTATTCCTCCACGGCTCCGTCAGAAGTTTTGCGCAGCGTGAAAGTCGACGCCGGCGTGAAATTGATTTTCCGGAATGGACGGGCTACTTTTGCTCTCATTATTTATGTGGCTCCAGAAGGGTTACGGCAGGCACATGATGTATCGTGTGCGTGGTCCAAATTGAAAATTCTTCCTGCAGGAAGGGAGCGAAAATGGAAATGAAGAGAGGCGCCGTAGGAGAGCTCATTTGCATACAAATTCCATTCAAAATATTGTTACACCAAAGAGCTGCGCGCCGAGCACATACTCAAAACTTATAATGTGCACAAGCGATCGTTTCCCGCCCATCATCACAGATGAAAAGAAAGGCCCAAGTGTCAAATTTCACGCAGCACGCATTCTCAAATCAGCTTTGTAAATAAAATAAAAATCCTACGCGATAGAGAAGGTAGGCGAAGTCAATCACACCTATCATTAAAGGGTCCAAATATTTGGCTGCTTTTTATATTGTCATGCAAATCGTGTGGCTGCGGCTTTTCATCTTTTATGGTCTGGCCAAAGGGTGAATTTCGTCGCACACAATGCTACTTTTCCCATATTAATACGTAATTGCCCCGCACAAAAAGTAGTCGACAATTACGCGCGGAAAAAGTTCATACACCGGGGCAGACAAATGCGAAAAAAAAGAGGGAATAACACGTATGCAAATTGCGCTGCTCCTGATGGGTGGTACGCGAAGCTGGCGTAATAAAAAGCAGCATGATGTTTCCAAATTGCTCCTTAATTGCTTTTTTAGGCAAAACCGGCAGAAGCATTATTTTCGTGCGTTTTCGCTGCCTGCTGGCGTGCTCTGCACACACCGCGCAAATGAAAGTGTTAACAAAAAGCTCTCCCTTTGCACACGCAGTAGCAGCATCGCCGGAACACACAAACTAACCCGACATCATCACTCTGCTCCCGAAAGGAAACGCTTTTTTGAATTATTATAGGCGCACAGTGCGGTGATATGTAGATGCAGAATGAAAAAAAAATGCTCAACCTCAAGTGACAAAATCGCGGTTCGAAATTTTATTTTGGGCAGATGTAAAATTATCTTCGTTTTTTTACGGTCGCCAAAAGTTTGTGCTGATAATATGCCGGATCTTAATCACCTAAATTCACCTTAGTTCTTTATGCAATTATATGCAAATTTTGATGTAGAATTTATTTTTTTACCATTTAAAAAAATGATTATATAGTAAAAATTTCATTAGAAATTATATAGCAAATGATGTTTTTTTTACAATTAATAAAAAACTTGATATATTAAAGTTCCTTTAATATCTTCTTTGAAAATTTTGGGGTACATCTTCATGTATTTTGGTACAAAATTAAAATTTTAACGTATTTTACCCGTATAGAACACCTAGGTCTAATATTTAAAAGATAAGTTAATTTTATAAAATTATGTATCGAAAATTTTCTTTTTTTGTAGGAGATGACTTTTCACAATATGTATGAAAGATTTATATTGAAAATTTAATGCTAAAACCTTTTTCAACGCATTAAATGAAATTTTAATTTCTTAATCTTACATTAAGCTTAAGACATCAATCAAATTTTGAAAATAATCAATTTCAAAGTACATCGAAGATTCCAATCAGTCGTGGCAACAATGTATCTCTCTTCTCAATAAAATAATTGCTAAAATAGGAGCAGGGCGGCTATGTTTCTTTCTTGGCCATAAGTATAATTGTTATAAAATAAAAGTTTAAACTTTAAAATAAAATAATAAACATTTAAAATTTCAATAAGAAAGAAAGTAATTTTAATATTATTTTTAATATAATTTAAAATTGAAGTAAAAAATAACAAATAAATTCCAAATTTTAAATAATATTATTAACAAGTAACATTAAATTTAGGTATTTACAAATTTTTCCTGACTGGAGGTCCAGAACACACACACTTTTGTTATATGGCCCCCCGTATATTTTACCGATCCGCAATCTTTCAGGCTGAGCGCGTTTCAGAATTTGTTTCCTCCGGTCGTGTGAAAAAATGAGCATGTTTATTTGCGCGCAATTGGCGAGAGCGAGAGATGATTTTGGGTCCGCGCTACGTTAAATTATTTAATTTGGCCGCGGTGCGCGCTCTGCGTGAGAGATAGCGAGAGACGTGGTTTTTATGATTTAATAATGCGGCATAAAATTAGCACTCGAATATATCCATTCTGTTGGTTTTATGCTGCGCGCGGATATATCTGGCGGAGAGATCGCGTGAGTTTTTGCAAGGCCCACCCTTGCTTGCTCGCTCACCAGAGAGTGAGAGAGAGCAATATTGGCCCACGGGCTGCGAGTTGTATACTTTATGGCCCAGCGCCGAGCTAATGGACTTGATGATGGAATGAGATATATCAATCAACATCTAATCCTCCTGGCTGCATTATTATTATTATTGTTGTTAATATAAAATTTTCTAACCTTCTCCCCCGTCTCCTTGCAATAAACAAAACTTTTTTTATTATAAAGTAATAATATGCGCATAATCATTTTTCACAAAAGACAATCGGCCTAGCAGGAAGTAATATAATAATTTCAGGCGTTGCTCGTTTTTCACATTTTTAAATTTATTGTTATGAATTTTTTGACACGGTCAGCGGCGGCGACGGCATTTCCTCCCCCCGGTACATTTTATGGGGTGTCTGAAGAGTGGTGCTTTTTGACGCAAAGGACATTTCGCTCTCCGCCGCCGCCGCCGCTGCGAGATTGTTTTATTGAAGTCGAGCATGAGGCGTACGTTTTTGTGTATATTGTGCATTTGATGTCGAGATAGCAGACACGAAGGCTCGTTCGTTCGTTCGTCGACGGCTCTGGTGTGTGTGGTCGCTTTGTGATGGCTGTGTATATGTTTAGGGCTCAATCACAACTTGATGCCCGCTAGTTAAATTTCATTCTGCGCCAGCAAATTATATTATTATTATTTCACGTGTAAAAAACACGGGGCAATTTCATGGTCTGCTTTTACAGTTATATAGCGACATCAAGTGCAGGATAAATTTTGGAAGAAAAAAAGAGAAACTTTGCGTGAAAAGCGCATAATAAATTAGTATAATTTTTGTAATTAATTTTATTTATTGGAATTTAAGACTGGCAATTTTCTTTAAATTGAATGAAATTTAAGATATTTAGACAATCAATGTATGAGATAATGATTCATTTTTTTATCGACCTGAAAAAAAATGCTGAAATAGCTTTAATTTTTGAATCATTTTTGGCTGTTTTACTATTTTTAAATGGAATAAGAGATTAATTTTAGTTCTTAAACTGTTACTTCTTTACACCTTTGTAAAAATTACACTAGAAACTTGAAAGCACAACGTTCTTTTTTTATATTTAAATACTTTTTTGAAATTTGAATCCATTTTTAGTTAAAAAAAATAATGACTGGGAATTTTTCAACTTATAAAATTTTAAGGAAAATATCTACCTTATATTTTTTGGGAAAAAAATGAAAACGATTCCACCAGTCTATAAGTAAATTTCCAAAAAATGGCTTTTTCTTTTTTAATTCAATTATTTTCTCAAATATTTTAAATTGCATCTCCATTTTGCAACTTTTTGAAGGTTTTTTGGCCCCGGAAAGGACAAATAAAGTGGCCTTTGAGTCACATAATAGCACCAACCAAACCGGAAACGCTATCAATAAACCAAAAGAATAGATAAAAATTGGTATCCGAAGCGCGAAACAATAAAAGAGTACGTGCGCGAATTTATCCATTCGAAGGAACCATACGTGGCTGTGATATGAAGGTGATTAAACAATTTGGGGCCAGGATTATCCAAGCTTGAAATTATGTTGTTGCAGCTGCTGTTTTTATTAGACCCGCCGCTTCCTCCAACATGATCCACTTGCAGGAATTATTTTCACGATATAGGTGGTATTACCAATTGTAATGCAAGGATAATAAATTCAAATATAATTTCGGCCGAGGGAATTACCACTGCAAATCGACGTACCTACCCGAGTGAGAATTGGCGCGCGGATGAGCATCGCGCAGGAGAGAGCAATAAAAACAATATTACGCCGCCGCAGGGCTCGTTTGCTGCTTCGAGAGAGTTTTCTCGGTCCGTGGTGCGCCTCACACGCTGCTCTCTGCTGACTAACAACCAGGGGCTAATCTGCATTTGAATAAACGCCAACTTGAAGATTCCATTAGCGTCTCTGCACGGGACTTATACACTCGAGGTGCAAAAAGACAGCACGAACCGCGACGCTTAATTGCCCCTGTTTGTTTTACAAGAAGTGCCCGGCCCGGCGCGTTTATAAAAAAAAATTATTATATGTATCGGCGGCAAATTGCATTTCTCTTATTAAGTTATTAAAAAGCGAATAATTATATTCGTGTGCATGTATTTTGACGGGCTTATTTATACATTTCATTAGGCGGTGCGGGGCAATTAAGCCTGCGTTCAATTTTCGCAACGCACGTGTCGCAGCAATCGCGAAATTGCTTTTACGACCAAAACCTCTCTCACGCGTTGAGCAAGTTTATATTTCTGAACGCTCGAATTTAGCTTTTGGCTAGAGAAAAATAAATGCTAATTGCGAACACACACGGCACTTATTCCTCAGCATCATTTCCTATTTCCTTGTATTCAATTGCGGGGAATTAAGAAATTAAAATATTTAAGTAGTTTATTTGTTTACTTTTTTAGATATAGAGTCACATGCAGAGAAAATTATAAAAATACATTAAAAAAACTTTGAGGTTATTAAAATTTTAATATTTGATCCAATACTTTTAATTTTTTTAAATATTTAATTTCATAATTATATCTTAATTTTTGTTATACAGTTTTTTTTTATTTCAAATTTCATTCTAATTCTCGATTACATTTCATTTAAATTTTAGGTTCTTGGTGTTATGTTACTAGTTTGAAAACTACTGCTAATAATAATATATTATAAAATCCATTCTGAAAATCTGTTAATCTACAGGATTGATTTTATAAAATTAATACTGATCCTCAACTATGGACATTGTTATTTATGAATTATGAAATATTTATATCAAAATGAATTAAAAAATTAGAAAAAAAAAATTCAAATTCCTGCTCCTTTGAGTTTCCGTGCATATTAATAAAATGAAAACGATTCAAAAATTGGAATGTCCCCCACGGCTTTCAATGAAATTAAAATTATTCAAAAAGAATGTGAGTTATGAGATTTCTCATCCCCACTCGGGGTGTGCATTATTCATTGTTGTGCTTTCTCGAGTGGCTTATGAAATATTATTTGTACATATAATATCGCCAGCGACGGCGTCCCTTGTATCCGTCATGGAAACATCTGCGGTATGGTATTAAAGCAGGGAGCACCGCACTGGGACATTGTTAAAAAGATCAAAATATTGCAGGGAGCAAGAAGATTTATTATAAGCGATATGAAACGCGCGGCTTTTATCGAGCATGCATGCGCTTTCTATTTGTCGAAGGGGTGCGAGAGAGATGCGGCGAGGGTGAGAATAATAATTCCGTCGCCGCGTATTACATAAGCTGATGCATCCCCAATAAAAGCTCTCGGCGCAAATAGGGTTCGGCAAAGGTCAAATTGAGTGCTAACAATGTTGCGTTGAACTTTTTGAACTCTCGCGCAAATGAGTGGATTAAAATTGGATTTGCTGTACCAGTGGCACCCATTATGACCCAAGGAAATTTCCCATCTAAATGTTAAGCAACTGCATTCAATTATGTCATAATTTTCCCCCGGCGCCTTTGACGGTGAAAATTTTTAATAATTAATGCAAAACCTTATTTCCTTTGAAAAGGAAGATGCGAAATAAGCTTGGAAATATAAATATATTTTTGGCTGAACAAAAAAGTGCCGCATTTTGCGAGGAAATGGTGAAGAGGGTTCGCTCTTTTTTTTCACCCACTCCTTCTTTTTTCTTTTGATTATTTTATAAATATATCCCCTCTTTTTTTTGTCGCACGAAAATGCGTAATTATTGCAGCAACAGCAGAGAGAAAAAGAAGAGAACGCGTCTGTCTCTTTTCAGGGAGCAAATGCAAATGTGAAAAGATGCTGTGAATAAAGCAAAGGGAAGGTGAGCGTCGCTCCCCAAAAACGGCGCGCAACAAATGCTCGTCGCTCTTTTAAGCACCGACTAATTGCCTCACAAAGAGAACTACGCCGAAAGTTGCTCGCTCTCAAAAGTCTCAAACACGCAGACGTACACACAGCTGATTAGATTCAAATATTAATTTAAGAGAACGACGGTTCCGCTCGGCGCGAGATGATTAAATCACTTTGGAGGAGAGGAAATTTTGATGATGCTTTGAGGTGCAAGTTGTAACGCCTGCAGCCGATCTATATGGTATATTTTCGCGAGCAGGCAAATTAGGCGGAGGCGCTTGCGGTGTATTATTAGCACACGTTATATTTCTCATCTCTTTTCTTTTCATCATCACACCCCGCACCATCAACACTTTCTAAATCGATTTTCAATGTGTTTTCAGAAGACAGGCGTTATTGGCAGCTCAAAGGCACCAGGAAGAAGCGCAAAGGCTGGCCGATCACCGCAAACACCGGTCGTCCGTGGCCGCCGACTCGTGCACCGACCCCGAGGACGAGCGCGTGGACGTGGTTGGCACCTCCGAGCCGTCGTCGCTCCTCCACCCGTCGCCGCACCACCCACACTTAGGACACCCCCATCTCGGACCCCACTTGGGCCACCATCTACACCCCAGCTTCCCCCAACACCCTGGTAGGTTTCAATTCTGAAATAATTGTATAAAATAATAATATTATGATAATTAAATCACTTTTTTTAATAAACATTACAAATTGCAAAATCCGAAGAAAATGAGCTGTGTTTCGGTCGAATGAGAATAAATAGATAACAATTCATTCAAACTAAATATTTTTAAACACACTTAAAAATAAAATTAAAAGTTAAATAGCAAGATTAAATTTTAAATACACAGTAAGAAATTTATAAAAATGCGAATAAAAGTTAAAATCCAGATATTTGGAAGAAATTTTCAGTCTTGAGAATGAAGAGCAATATCAAAATAAAATTTCATGATTCATGACTAATTTGATTCTGGGAACGATGGGGTTTGAGAGTTGAATTAATCTTAATTTATGCCATAGAAAATACAAATTAAATTTACATTTTTTCCTGACAGAATTGCCATTTTTTCTAGGTTGGTTCACTCTGCCCACCACCGACCCGAGCAGTAGTTCCTCAGAGCAAGAATCTCTTCTGCGGCGGACACGTTGTGAGGACATGGACAGTGCGGAAGTGAGCGACAGCAGTTCCGAGTCGGGCAGCACCGCGCAGGCGTCGTTCACCAAGCCCTCGCCGTCGAAGGACCCCCTGCCGGGCACCTCGTCCTCCGACTACCCTAGTCCCAACATCTCAGTTGGGCCCCCAATCCACCCCTCACCCCACCTGCTGCCCTACCTCTACCCCCACGGACTTTATCCCGGGCACCACATGCACCAGTTGCTGGGCCAACACCCACCCCCGTTGTCGTTGTTCACGGGGGCAGGGGCGCCCCCGGGCATTCACCCCCAGCTGCTGTTCAACGCGCAGCTCGCCCTGGCGGCGCAACACCCCCTCTTCGGCCACGCCTACCCTGGACTGGGGTCAGCGCTGGCCTCGTCTACCTCGCCGACCTCGGGGGGTGCGGGACCCCTGCTCTCTGAGAGGCTCAAGGCGGCGCACCGTTTCGCCCCTTACGGCCCCGTAACCAGCACCCCCAGTGCCACCACGCCCAGCTCTACCCTGTTGGGAACCTCCCCTCTCGGCTCAGCCTTTGAAACAGTCACCCCTGGCTCCCACCACAGTCCTCGCCACTCTCCCCGACCGACGTCGACGGACTCGGCCAAGCCAGCCATCGTCACCCCCACCCCAATCACCCCCAAAGTCGTAGCGGGCTCACCCGCCAGCAGTCCAACGCCGGTGGCGCCGTCCGACGGCAAGCCGCTCAACAACAACAGCAAGTCACCGCCGCCGATCAGCAGTGACCTCAAAAGCATTGAGAAAATGGTGAACGGCCTGGACAAGGGCGGCGGCGACGAAAAGGCCGAAAAGTGAAGAAGCACAAACTCTCTCTTACTCTCTCGTTGGGACTTATTGCCTTGTGTATAAAGTGTAAATATCGTACATAGTAAATTCACAACACACACACAAACTGAGAAATAATATAATATTTGCTGACTTTGTTGAAAAATGTCTCGTGCTAATTCTTTGTATGTTCCTCATTGCTGTAGACAAACAGAAGCTACTTCAAATTAGAGTTATTATATCATTCATTCATCGCGAATGAAGAAAAAAACGTAAAAAAAAATATGAAATTGCCTTAGGGCAATTGATTTTACCATGAATGTGCAAGGGTACGTTTCAAATAGGCGCGCGCTGTCTCGAAACCTACATCCATAGTTGAAGGAAAGTGATAATTTATTAATTAAATTAAATATTATTACAATAAATTCCAACTCGTCCCCCTGGATTTATTTGTTGTTGTCCACATTTCTTCTCAATCAGAGTGAAAACTATTATAACAAAATGATTTTTGAGTCGCTGTAACAATCCTTATTGACATTATAATTGATTAATTTAATCAACTGCTGCATTACTTGTTTTTGTTTTGTATAAATTTTGCCATACCAAAGATTAACATTTATATTCGTGAGATTTATAGAATTTTATTTTATTACGCCGAATTATGTTACAGAGTTTAACGAAGCAATCAATGTAAAATACAACAGTGACATATCCCCGGGAATTCTGTATTTTCAATCACAAAAATTATAAATCAGCAAAGCGTAGAAGAAGAAAATCGGCACACACGTAATTTAATTTCGCGGAGAATAAAGATTAGGTTGTTTTTCAATCACCACACTCTATTGCATTAATTAGCATGATTGGATCGACTATAATTATAAAGATTTTACGAAACCTGTCAATAAGGCGAAATAAATGAATTGATGTGCAATCTCTCTCTCTTCTTGATTTTCATGATCTGATGTCTTAATAAGCAATAATTATTATTCGGACGTGAATTCTATCTCATTAAAGAAAGAAACTATACCCACAATATTATTATTACTAGCAATTAGAGAGCAGTGAGGATGCTGACGAGTTAATGTTTGTTTTGTACATGTTCATGGTTTATTACTCTCTTATGAACCCATTATACATAAAAAATGCTATATACTTATAGAAAATAAAGAGCATTATACTGAAAAGGCATCTCGTTTTTCACTACTTTTATACCCAACAAGAATATATGAATGCGGTGGGTCCAGCCAGCGTATATCTGGCCCCAATTAATCGGCCCTTATCGCTGCTTGGGCGGCGCCTCTTCATCTCGTCCAGATAAGCAAATCGCCGCGCTTTGAAGTGGCCGCTGAAATCCCATCCCTGCTGCTGGCTGCATCCGGCCGCCGTGCAACTATTTCTCAATCTGCACGCACCAGACGGAAAACTAATCCCCAACTATATACGGTGCTAATCTTAAATTTTGATTAAAACGAAATCGAGAAGGCCGCCCGAAAAGTGAAATTCGAGCTGCTTGATCTTCAAATTTAAGAAATTAATTTTAATTCTCTCCTATATTTTTATTAATTTTGTGGAATCGTAGAAAATAGAACAGCAGCTGTTGAAATTGCTTTCCACTATCTTGATTTTCTCCCCCCGCGTAGTACGTGCTGCGTAAAAGAGCCCCTGTGAGAAACGAAAGTAGACTTTCAGTTTGTCACGTTTGTTGTGAGGAACGCATAGATCGCATCCTGTGGCCATAGCAACGCTTCGTCTAGTCTAGACCATCCTTTTGCTGACAACAACTTCGATCGTTAAACTTGACTTGGAAATTCAAGCATGAATGGATGATTTTTCCAGATTTTTCTAAGTACGATAAGTTAAAAAATAATCAAATAAAATCTCAAATCATGTAATATGATGAGGCGATATGAAAATAATTTTTCTATTGTTTTATTTTCAATGCCAAATAAGTATTTATTAAAAAAGCAGCCCTAACAACTTAAATAATAACGTGTTTAAAACATCAAAATTTACTGTCAATATATTTTCTGGAAAATAATATATTTAATATTTAGCAATTTTTGAAATTATATTTGTTACCGCAACAGATGAATTTTCAAGTTTTAAATTTTATGTTGAAGTGCTTTCTTGGTTTTTGTGATGCAGTGCAAAAGTCACTTCCTCTTCCTGTCTTGCATCTAAAAAAAGACAGCGTTTTGAGCGCACACGCATATTATACTTTATTTTAAGTGAGTGTTTATTGTGTTACTGATTGCGAGTAGCTGATTAGCCGTGAGCAGGTATAAGACCTTCCGCGCGATAGATTTAAATGCGCAGTGCGCGAAAAGGCGGCAGGTTAATTTTGTTTGACGCGCTCAAGTGTTTCGAATAATTTTAATTAACACACGCGGCGTGAGTGCCAACTTGTGTCGCTCGTCCGACTATTATCTAGTAATTGAAATTTGTTTCCGCGCCAAAACAACGCCGTTTTATTTAATTTCCTCATCGTACTTCAAACTTAATTAAAATATATAATATGTTACATAAAACAAAAGTCTTTATTATTTCAAAACTAATTAAAGTATCCACGAAAAAAAACCCTAAATCGAAAAATAAAATATTATTTTAAATTCTGAGAAACTTCATGCTTTTGTCTCTTTTCTGCTGATGTTCACTCTAGATAAATGTGAAAAAAAAACCGGGCTGCTAAAGTATCAATGCAGCAAACGATGGCTATCTGCATTAAACTTCTAGCCGAGCGCTTTACTCACCTATTTATCCAACACGAGGTGGAAAGTGACACGTCAGCGGCGGCGGCAGCTAGTTAGAGTTTGTTGGTTTTAGCCAGCAGGTGGGTCACGCCAATGTTAATTGCACTTCTGTCACCTAAACCTGTTCCTCCGGAAGTCAACATAACATCTTGGCCAGTTTTGTGTTCGAGCCTACTTGCCTCGCTCTATATAAACTCGCGAGTGTGGCACGGACTTTTTAAAATGAGAGAAAATCCATCACTTATCTCGGAGCTCGTCGTGACAAGTCAGGCCACTGCTGAGCTTAAGAGAAGCAAGCACTGGATTAATGATTCGTTACTCTTGTCGGCTGAAGTTCCATTATTCATTTTGTAACTTCATTTCAGCATCATCTGAAGACAACAACTCAAAAGCTCCTTTGCTTATGAATGAATGAATTGAATTTGTACAAGTGAAAATTTTACTTTCAATAATCACATATACATAAATTTTCATACAATTGACAATATTCTTAATTTTAAATAGTTATTAAATATATTATTTTTTTTAATAAAATGTGCATCTATATTTAAATAAATTTATACAATTTTTAAAATAACCTTTTTTGCTTATAGATTTTGATTACACTTAAAAAAATAAAAGTTTATAAAACTCATAAGTTGTATATTGAGGTTAGTTTTTTGCCTTGACTTTAACGTCAATTTTCATTTTATGAGTTCGAGCGGATAATAATTAATGATTTATTCAATTCAAAAAATAATTTGCAAACAAGCTAACAAGCAAACAAGCTAATTTAAATGATGCATTTGTTTGACATTCAAATTTTTAATGCCTATATTTCTATTTCCATTCTTTGCCAAATTGATAATTACAAGTATCTATTTCAAATGTGCCCTTTTAAATTAATTGATGTGCGCGTCACACTTGCTCATGACTTCCAAAATAAAAACTGATGCATAACAAATGTATTTATGCTGCAAATTTACGATCAATCTCGTAAAAAAACGCATTGTGTTTCGCGCGAGGGCGAATTGCAGTGGAGCAGAAAAGGGGTGTCTGGGGGAGAGTGGGGAGGGAGGGAGGGGGTGATATGTCACTTCTTGCCGGGGCTAGGTTAGGGGATCTCACTTACACATGTCGCTAAATGAGGCGTTATTTTCTCTCTTGTCTGCCGCTGCCGCTGACAAAGAAATCTATATGCGTTTTCCAGCACGCCGCGTCTCCCAATATGCCGCGCTTGAAATAAATTGCCGAGAATTATTTAGTGGCATGGAAAATTCGCCCATAATTTCCATCGAGCTGTATATGTAGGGTCCGCGCTACACACACGCGAAATTGGAAGCGACAATTCTGCCTCTTTGCGCTTCCTGCCGCGATCAAATTAACGGCGTGTTTGATTCTGCAGGCCGCTCCAATTTGCCAATGCTGGGGGTTTTCGTGCCCGACCACATTATTATAGCTTTGAATTGAGGATAACATCCAACGACTGAAGTCAACATATGAATATTGGAACCATGGATAATTTTACAAAAAAAGGAGCTATGATCTCCTTAAAAAGAGAGAAAAATACAAAGATGAAAATTCTTGTGATGTTAATTAGCAGTAAATAAATTTTAACAAAATCTTAACCAATTTTTAAAGGTGAATTATTAAAATTTTATGTACTTCAATTTCACTCTCACGCAAAAAATTGCAGACTTGAAATAATGTAACTCAATTATTTTGTAGCGCTCAATAGACTCTGTAAATAAACACTTTAATAAAATATAATTTTTTTATTAACAAATATATTATGTTTATTTGTAATTCTATTTCTGATGATAACTTATTTAAAGGTCGTATTTTTAAAATTTTATATTTTCAGAGATTTATTTAATTATTTGAAATTAATCATAACCACATAGTAAAATAGTTGTTGATTTATATTTTTTCTCTCTTTCTTTAAATTACTTGCAACTTCTTATTTATAACATATCGGCTACAAAATTTATCAAATAAGATTAAAAAATGAATTCTTGTTGTGGGCATATATTAAATTTTCTCATATTGTCCATCATGTACTTGCCTGAACTTATTCTATGTTTGAATTGATTGTTAGTTAATAAAACTTAATAAATTAAATATACATGTTTAGAATTAATCTTCATTCATGCATATCACGCCCAAGCTTTGAACCATAATTTTTTTTTGTAGAAAAAAAAATTAGAAATATTCGTGCTTGAGACCACAATTGTAACTTTTTTATCTCTATACTCCAAACTATGTGCGAACTTTTAAACTTCAGATTATAATTAAGATAAATTATAGATTTGCAGCTTCTTTAAATTTAATTACGATTTTTTCCTCCGTTGATTTGTACATAATTCATTGTGACATTTTTTTTTTTTTTTTTGCTTCAATATTTTACCCCTTTTTTGCCTTCTTATATTAAATTTTTAAAATTCTGATTTAAATTTTTCATTTTCATTTTCCTCTGCATTTCAAACTTTTGGAGATGAATTGGGCGTTGAAATCAGAGCAATTTTCAAAGTCACCGAGCGTGAATAATTGCCGGTGGACAATTATTATACGGCAGCAGCCTTGTTGATTATAAATATTGCGAGCGGGTGACGCGGCGTGGAAAAAAGAGAGCGAGCGGCGTCCAATAACTTTGTGTCGGTCCCGAATAATGAGCGTCGAGGGTAATAAAGAGCAGGGTGCCATAAAGACAATACGAGGCGCGGCGTGTGTAAGGGCGTAACTTCCTTCCTAAATGACTTCTGCCCCGGCTTGAAAAACGCACATAGCACTTGTGTGTGCAGCTCAAAGGTGTACACACCGAAATACGCACGAAAGAGAGGATCGCATGACATCAAAAGGGCTCGCGCAATCAAAAACCGCCGCCGCAACGACGCAAATTATAGCCCATTGGAAACAAAGCCAAGGGCAGACGACGCATCTGCTGGAGCTTCTGCTACGATTGCGGGTTGCATAACTCAATTTTAAGCCTCTGCGAAAGTGCAGATTTAATTAATCATGAATGAAATGAGGAATTTTGTGTTCGATGACTTCCAGTTTTACATAATACACAGAGAACATGTTCGGCTTGACAAAGAAATAAACTATAGTTAATTATAATTTAAAAATTTAAGTCGCTTTAAGATTAAACATACAATTTAAATATTTGTATTTAAAAAAAAAAAAAAATCTATAAAAACACAAAATATTTTAAAATATCTATTTTAATTACTCATAAAAAGAAAACAAAATTAATAGAAATACAAAATAAATAAAATAAATGTAAAATACAAAAACATTTTAAATAATAAAATAAATTAATTAAAAATATATAGCAAACAGTTTTATTTTGTAAGTAGAAAAAATTGTAAAAAACATTTACTTGAAACTTACAACAATTTGGAGAGAGATAAATAGTGCAGATAGTATTTTTTTTCCTGCTCCATATGAAAATTTGAA